CCACTCATTAGTTCTGTGAATCTTTTGATTTCTTTTATTTTTGGTGAGACTTCACCATCAGATCACCTTCACAGAGCTGCTGGCAAACACACAGCGGAAGTTGATGATGAGAAATGTTTGACCAAAGGTTTTCTTTACTTGAGAAATTAGAACGACACATGACCTGCAGTTTGAACGCTGTTTAAAAAAGTACACGTGCGCCGGCTGTTGAAGGGTTAAACCTAACCCAGCCACAGTGAGTGAAGTGGAGCTGAAATCTTTTCCATATTACAGCACACACATGAGGAACACATTTGAGTTCAGCTGTCTGGAGTCTCTCTCTCTCTCTCTCTTTCTCTCTCCCTCCCTCTCTGCCTCCCTCACTCCCTCTCTCTCTCCTTTACTGGTTAGGGGCAAGTTCAACCCAGCCGTATATCATTACACATCTGGGAAAATGCGTTCAAAGCTCTGGATGACACGCTAGAGCAGAGGAGGACAACACAGTCCATCTGTGACCAACCTTTGTTTCAAAAGATGTTCATTTGGAGAATAAAACAAAAAGTTTGAACTACCATTTACAAACAAATATCATTTACAACGTTAACCCTTACACTGGAAGAGTCGAGGTAACACCTGAGAGTGGGGCTGAAGCTGGAAGTGTATGCAGCCATTTTGATCTAGACTCTCAAAGACAGAAAAATAGAAAAAACTAAAAATGACAAAGCCCGACGGAAGATGCAAAATACGCCAGAAAAAAACGTTTTCAAAACCATTAATATTAACAGTAATGGTAATCTGAGACCTGGACTTCTCTGCTCCTCCCATCACGTCCCTGCAGTGGAACCTCCTCTTTGACATCGCTCTGGTTCTTGAAGTTTTATTTTGGTCTGATGGATCAGACCGGTGGAGCTTTTAGGAGGGAGGGAGGAATTTTCAACATTTCTCTTTTTCCAGTATGGAAAGTGTTGTTTCCTTTCTATCCCAGTTCCACATACCAGAATAAAACAAACTCCATGAGTTTAATCTTTCTTTTACTTTGTTCTGTAAAGTTGGTGACAACAACATTTAGAAAGACACGAGTTTGTTTTCAGGAGTCTGGTATACAAAGGTGATTAGGATCCTGGTGGGAGAATGATGGGTAGCTAACAAGAATTATAGGGAAGAGGTCAAAGTTCAGGAGGGAAAAAACCCTTCCACACATTACTCTAAAGGCTCACAGATGCCATGTTCCTTCATGCCTTACTGCAAAACTTCCAGGTTCTGTAAAAAGCAGGAGGAACCCCAACATGAAACAACCTCTTTTAATCTCTTTTTTCACAGTTATTTCATTTAATCTGGTTAGGCCAGACCCATCTAATTACAAGGCAGATGTCTTTTCAACTCAGCCAACCAGCCTCCACTTCCACAGCAGACGCAGGACACAGAAAAACAACAGGTTACAGAACGAGATCAAGGTCACATTTAAAGTGCCATCAGTCAGTTTGCGTTCACAGACCATGCCTGTGAGTTTTTTTCGTCAGGCCCTGGTCTCTAGGACTTTACGGCCGCCACAGTTAGTGTGACAACAAGGAGGCAAGACGACTCCTTCAGACCTCCTCCGCACTTGAATGATTTCACAGATGGCGAGGAAGAAAACGCTCTGCACAACAGTTGCAGAGCGGGGAAAGGGCTGAGAGAAAGAATTCTGACTGGGCTTCTCAGATGTCGGCTTTTTACTGAACAACAACGAGTGTCTGATGAGTCGCAGGTCATTAACTAGTTAGAAATACGGAAAGATGAATAAAATGTAGGTGGAAACAGGAAGGAAATGAAAAGAGCAACTACGTTCAGTACAGTTCCCAAATAGAAATAATCCCATAATCTGCATGACATGTCCCAAATGGATGTGTTTCCTGTTGACACTTAAATACTAAATACACAATAAACTCCCAAATAGAAATAATCCCATAATCTGACACTTTATATAAATAGCTGACACTTGACACTTTATATAAATAGCACAAAATAATAATAATAATAATGATGATGAAGATAAAACAATATGGTGATATTTATTAATTCTGCAGTATTTCGTAGATTAGATTAGACCAGATTAGATTAACTGTCCTAATCTGAATAATCTATACCTTGTCGCACTGAAATGTTTGCGTCAAAGTCAACCACAGGTTTGGCTCGGAGAGTTATATTTAGTTTGCTAGTTCCAAACATACAGTCGAGTTCTTGTGGCGCAGTAGAAACAGAACATGATCCTCCAATCAGAGGGTCGGGGCTTCGATCCCAGTTCCTGCTAATCGACCTGATAACCAGTCCTGGGGCAGGACTCCTAATCTGACATGGCTCCTGGGTAGATGAACCAACAGAGGAGTTGTAGTCGATGCCCTGATTGGCTGGCAAGAACGTGGACAAAAAGTCTAAAAAAGTCTAAAAACCAACGTTGTTCATATTGACCTGGTCATTTTGGATTTGTTAATGACAATCCACCAACTCCATGAAGCTAGAGAAACACTTACCTAATGTCATTATCTTGACATTTTCACTTATTAATAATCCCATGATTTGGATTAGTGAGCTACACTACTTTTTGACTGATGACTGAACAAAGACAGAATCCACTACATTGTGTCTCTAGCTGCGCGGTTGACACCCCTGCTGTCTTGCTGTGTTACTGCGGCCACAGTTAGCGCCTGGACTGTCTGCCACCTGCTGCCAATCAAACCTGCACCTGCCACATAAAACACCTGGTGGATGTTTGCCCAGGGCAGTCACATCTTTAAGGGCTCCCTGGGCCTGTGGTTAAAGGCCGTGGCCCGGGGACAAAGATGGAGCCTCGGTAACAGCTGATCTCGGTCCCTGCTTTGACCGCTGTTAGCTCTTAGCAGCTGACGCCACTAAATTAAATCTTCATTTGACCTTTAGCCATAGGAGACGTGTTGGACATAAATGCAATGGTCCTCTTAGATTTGATATCTTTGGTGTGACACACCACACCAGTCTGTAGTCACTGATAAATGTCTCATGTTTACACAGAGAAAGGAGCAGATTCACTTGATGTTATTTTCTTATAACAGCCTGGAAAACTGAGGGTTTTCGTTCTGTTTCCAGTAGATCACCGTGTCTGGGAGCAGCGTTACCTCTTGTATTTTCTGTCTGCTGCTGCTGTGTCATTTTTTCCACCCTGCAGGCCAGTGGGAGGAGGCGAGCTGAGGAGGAAAAACTACAGCCACGACATCTCCGATCGGCAGCAGGAGAACCGACCGCTTCTGTTAAGAAGACAGCAGTGATGTGCTTAACATCAATAAGCCCCAGTTTGAAAAGCACAAACGGTCTCAAAATAGTTCATGTAGTGGTGGTAATGATGTGGTCCCTATGTGATGCTCTGTGTTAAAGCCGTGGGGCAGGGGCAGAAACGCAGCGACGAGGGATTTACGTAAAAAAAAAAAAGACACAGGGAGTTTCTCTACAAGTCACGTTTCTAAATGCTTGCTAATAACAGGAGGAGCCAATGCTAACAGCCCCTGTGTTGACCTACAAGGAGGAGGAGGTGGGATGAAGAGGATGCTGATGAAGAGGAAATGTACACATGGTGGTATACTAGGAGTGTACTATGTGGAACCAGATAAGTCTGTAGGTGGTGACAAAGTACGAATCACCTGAGAATATGAATTATTTAGAAAAGGACAGAACCACAGCCTGGTTTTATGAAGTAATGCAACGTATGCAAAGTATTTAAAGTCAGAAATCGTTTCTCCCATTTGCCTCTTTCGCCCCGACTGAGTTCTACTTTCACAAGCTCCACATCATCACTTCTCCTCCTCCTCCTCCTCCTCCTGCTGCTCCCTTTGACTCCCTCTCTTTTCTTCTCTGCTTGTATCACAGATCCTCTGGATCCACAGTCCAAATGTTAGGGTTTGCAATCCAGAAAAAACAGAGCGCAGGGCCAAACAGGAGAAAGAAGGGAGGGGGGGAGTTCAGCTCAGTGTCCTGTCATATCACTCAGGACTTGACTCTCCGTGTTACAAACTTAAAGAGACGATCAAAATTCAAATATCTTCCTTTTGATAATATAAGTTTACATATGAGTTTTTTTTAAATACTGATTCTAATGTATGAATCCACAGATGTTCCACACACAGCGACAATATTACTATAACTATATATATATATGTGTGTGTGTGTGTGTGTGTATATTCTGTGAACAGTAATTAACTTAACTCACTCTAATCTGGAAAAGTAAAAAGAGTTTAACAAAAATCTGCCAGACGCTTCTCAGGTGTTAACGACTTCATTAAAGAGACTTAATTAATCCCAGCGGAGTCCGGAATTAACGTGTTATCAAATGGTTAATGCTACAAACGACTGCTTTAGTACAGTTCAGTACAGTACAGTACAGTACAGTACAGTACAGTACAGTACAGTACAGTACAGGTAGTTCGTCTGGAGGTGAGTGGATCAACATGTTCATTCATCGTCCTGTGGCTTTGTGGTTTGTGTGGGTGAGGGATACGATATTAACTATATTAATTAATAAATATTAAATATTAGATGTGGCTTTCTACAGTGCATATGTGAGGCCTTCATTTATTTACTAAGGAGAAAAAAAAAGGCAAAGACTGAGGCAAACTGACGATGTTATCATGTTTTAGGTTTAAGTAGTTTCGGAGCTCCTTACGGTGCTTGAGACATTTTAACAAACAAATCTGGACTGCAGTCCGGCCTTATTACTATTACTATTAATACTATTCATATTTATTATATGTGTGTATTCCTGGCGGTGTTCACATGTGTCTAAGTCATTAACATATAGGGTCAGTGGGCCTCCAGCCACTGAACTGAAACTGATACAGTTTCACACAGACATTAAGCTTTTGTGGTGGCTGATGATAATAATGATGTTAAAATACTGTTATAATAATGAAGAACACGACTAGTTTTGGAGTTAATGATGTTAAAATACTGTTATAATAATAAAGAACATGACTAGTTTTGGAGTTTATTTACTGACATGTGTGTGTGTGTGTTTGTGTACCTTCTCCCCAGCACCTGGAACACATTACTTCCTCATGGAGCCTACTGCGGAGCCATGGGTCTTAAAGAGGTGGGGAGCCGTCTTTCCCACATTACAGTCATTACTCGGGTTCTCACCCCCCACCAGCTCAGCCATTTGGCCTGGCCTGATGACATCATCAGAAGCTGCTTCACGTGGACCTCTTGTGGTTTTTCTGGGGGTTTGTTATACTCACAGCTACCATTCTAGAAAAAAATACTGAACAATAGGTTTACAGTGTGTATAAGAAGATAACTTTTACTCCATGACAAGAAGTTTTACTTCATCTTGAACGTACAGTCGCAGTGATCTCCAGGCCTGCAGTCCACACAGAGCCCAACCAGATTTAACTCTGTCGTTTGGGTTTGGGAAGTCTTCCTGATTTAACTACAGGAGGAGTCAGTGATGATCTACAGTGTAGGCCTACAGACCTACCAGACTGTGTGTGTGTGTGTGTGTGTGTGTGTGTGTTGATCTTCTCTGTCGGTTGCAGAGGTCTGGCTGGTGATGGAAGAAATTCCACTTGAGAATTACAGATGTTTTTTTTTCTATTTTCTTTTGTCTAGCTCCTCCTCCTCTCTCTCTCTCATCTCTCTCACTACACGCACACTCTATGTCTCTCACCCTGCCCCGCTCTCTCACATCATGAGTGTTCAATGGAAAATTACCATCATGCAAAAAGCTCAGTCTTCCGTCTTTCCCTGCTCAGAAAAACTGACAAACTTAGGAGAAGCTCGTGTCTTTTTCTACATTCCTACTTTTCTACTTCACACGTGACCATTTCTATCACCACGTATTTGACAATAAATCACGGCAAAGTAGGCGCAACACTTCCGAGTCGCTCCTTTGTGTTTATACATTATGTGAACAATTTGGGGGAGATGAGGGGCTGACGCAGTTTGGAGTTTGGAGTTGAGAGGAGACTGGAGAGAGAAAGTGGGGGAGGAAAGAAAGAGGAGGAGGTTTTAAGAGCAGTCGGTTCATGACATAGCTAAAGCATGAGTACATGCCTGCTGGCCGACGTCCACTGAGAAACCTTCTGCATCTGGTTAAGGTCTACTGCCCATGCACTCTCCTCTCGCTACTTCCCTGCTTCTTCCTGGCGTCTCCTCTTTTACCTTACCCCTTGTCTCCTAATCACTGTGTTTCCTCCCTGTGTCATCTGAATGCACTTTGTTTTGTTCCCTTCTCCTCTGTTTCAGTGTCTCCTTGTTTCAGACGTTAGATGAGAAACAGGAGGGAAACTTCTAAACCTGTCCCCCCTCCGTGTTTCAACATTGTTGTGACGTTGCCAGGCTTGTCCTGTTGCTCTTGCTTTTTGGATTCACTTCTTCAGTTTTTTTTTTTCTTCAAACCTCTATCTGAAATAATCAAACTAGTAGAGCTGAGTGAGGTTTCTCCTTTATGAGCTACAGTGTCAGGACTGAATAAAAGACACTCGTTGATACAGCTGATATAACTGTAACATGTAATAAACAAACAAGACAAATACTAATTGACAAAAAACTTGTTAGTTTTTTGTCTGACCACCTTTTCAAGACAAATACTAATTGACAAAAAACTATCCTTTGCTACAATGAGAGGGGCATCGAAAAGAGCATGAGACAAACTAGCATTACCTTGACTGCATCTCACTGCATGGAACGGTGGGTTAGTTGGGTGTGTGTAAATACCAATATGTGTGTTAAAGAAACGATAAGTGGATGGATGGTGGAATTATTGGCTATGCTGCACTTATCGTTCTGTCCAGACTGACCACCTTCCTCAGGTGGTCAGTCTGACGGCCGAGCTCTGTTTTTGGTTCATATTGACGGACAGTCTTGAAGACTGACGGCAGAAGTATGTGCTGAAAGACTGTGGTGGTCCTAACGTCAGTACTACAGAGTATTCATGGGGGCAGTGGGACAGGTCTGAGCCTGCTTCACTTTCTCCTACACAAACATACACACATACACTTTCTTCAGCTTCTCTGCCTCTTGTCAGTCTCTATGTTGAAGTTAAATTGAAATACAAATGGCTAAATATACGTACAAATATATAAAACCATCGCTTGGATCTACTATTGGGTTTTCAGTAGTTAACACAAAATCCTCTTTTCCCTCTCAACTTCTTTTGTAAAAAAAAAAAAAAAAAGGGGTAATATAAACATGGCACACACACACTTCACAGCTTCAGGGCGTGTCCACACTTCTGAGTTCACTGTTAACCAGATCGTCTCCTGCAGCCAGTCACAATGCAGGGGGAGGAGTCTGGGTTAAAAGAAAAGGAAAAAACTTCTTTTCTCTCGTCCTGCTTTCTGTCTCGCTCTTTTTTTTCCCTCAGCCAAATCGAAGACTTCATGATGACTGAAAAATTCTTCCACGTGTCCACTGCTGGATGTGGATGGAGGAGGGGAGCAGAGGAACATGTCTGCTCTTCACCTATGGTTTCCTTTCCTCATCTATAATCTAAATATCGATCATTGTTTTTAGACCTTAGTGTAGATTAGCCCGGGGAATGCTAGCACTGACCACAACAAGACAG